AGAGGATCAGTTGGTTGACGGCGACGGACGAATCCCCTTTCGGATTCGTCGGGCCACCGCTGCTTCTCTTCCTCACCTTTTTGGGTGCCGTGATAGTTAATACACCATCGGAAGAAAGGCTCGAGGTAATGTTGATCACATCGTGAGATGGGGGCAACGCGTATCTGCGTACAAAGTGTCTGCTGACGAATCCGTGCTCGTCTTGCCTCTCCTCGTGTTTGGCTTCGATGATTACGTTATTGCCGGCCGTCTTCACCGTGATCTCTTCCGGCGAGAATTGTTGAACGTCCAGTATTACCTGCAGACCGGAAGCATACGCATACAAAATAGGACCATCGAATTTGAGTATCCGCAAAACGTCGAGTCGCAAATATGTTTGAATAGCCTCTGAGCGTGGAGACCTAGCCTAAACGAGAAAACCGCAACTACACACCATCCGCCGACGAATCTTTTCCCTCTGGCTACTCGAAATAGCAAACGAACCGCAAACGTGCCACAGTTATCGCGAAAAACAGAGCCGAGCGCAAAAGGTTAGGATCCGGAAAAGCTTCCCGCAAACGAAGTCTGCCCGCACTGGCGGGCGAAGGCGGCTTCGCCGGCTTTCGAAACGCATTTATTTAAGCTACCACCGCCGACCACCACCCACGCGCTAATTTCTCTGACAGAGCAGGTTCTTCCGGAAGATCGCATCTGGGTGAAGATCAAGTTAGAATTCCTTAGCCTAACGTACGCACGATATACAATTACAACACCCCACGTCGCAACCCTTGGCACTGTAAAACCGTTTTAGAGGCTTACATACGTTAGCTGGCTTCGTCTGAACCGTACCGTGGCGACATTGCGCGTCACCACCACCACCACCACCACCACCACCTTCCGGCCAACGAACACGTTCCATCGTGGCAGTCTCCCGATCACGAGAATCTATGTCGAACACGTCCGATCGTGGCAGCCTCCCGATCGCTAGAATCGGGTTGAAACCGAACACGTCCGATCTTCGTAGCAACCCGATCACGAGAATCTGGTTGAAACCGAAAACGGGATAAAAAAAAATGTAAATTCGTCGAGGAGAGAAAGGCTAGGTTTTCTAGAACACGATCCTCCATTTCGTTCCGCCGTATTTCATGTAACGCACCGCGCTTGCTCCGGCCTACGTAGCGGCCGCAAAGGTAACAAAACCGGAAAGATGTAGCTGCCGGGCGCGCCTACTTGTGTGACGTTGTTCCCATTTTTTCCGCCAACCGAGAAAAGACGCGAGCATTACATGCAAGTAGGTGAGATAACCACACACACATTTATATAAGCCACACACATGCGTGCACGCGAACGAGCGCGCTGATCCGCGCGCTGGCCGGATTTTCCTTTTCTCTTTCTTTCGACGATGGAGGAGATTCGGTCGTCTCGTGGCTAGCAGCTTCACTTGGGACACAAAAGGATTAGACCGACAAAAAGAAAACTCAGATACGAGAACAAGGAATAAAAAGCGATAGGGAAGAAAGAGCGAACCGCGGTTCCTTCGGGTGATCGTGTGCCCACGTGATCCCGGGGAGACCCGGCGAGCGATTTCGCGAGAGAAAGGGAGAGAACGGCGGGGTGTTGGAGTGCAGGATTTTCTAAAAAATCATTTTCGACACGTTTATCTTTGCACACACATACCACACACGAAACAGCAGAACCAATAGAAACGGTGAAGATATTTTGGTATCTCGAGTGCCGCTACGTAACACAGAGAAAAATACAGCCGCGTCTGCATTTTTGTACATAGAGATTTTCGTACATCTGAATTGTTTTTTATGATCTTTATCGTTGACGATTCGAGGAGCATTTATTTTTATATAGAGATTATTAATATATTATAGCGAACCAAGAAAGGGAGAGATCCGAAAAGCTTTAAACGGAACCGTTTTGCCCCGGGAGTAAGGCGCCCCTTACCCAGGGGCGGCGGGGGGGTGCTCCGCCGGCAAAATTGTGAACGCCATTCTACACAAAATCCACAAGAGAAAACTTTCGGTTCTTTCTGTGAAAGAAGACTGATCCTTGCGAGAGAGACACGCGAATTTATCATTTTTCGGGTTTTTTAAAAAGATAGCGTCGTTCGGGCGTCGTTTGTACCTACACGATAAAAAAAGAGAAGATACAAAAAAAAAGAGGTTCTTTTCGAGACTAAACTGGAAAGACCGGTCAAACTGTGATTTTTGTTTTTTAAGGAACGTACTTCCGGTGCAAAGCGTGTCTGAGACGACGATAAACAAAAAGAGAAATGTACCACGTTGCCGCAATATCGGAATGTACCTTTTAGTTTGGAGAATTTTACAGATACCAGAGTTGCTTCCGACGGAGTAGTAATTATAGTGGTTGATAACGAGACCTGATTATATTCCCCGCGGACCACATCCCCTTCAAGGGGGTTGATCCTTGATACACACACCGATATACCCCCACCCCCCCCCTTCGAGTCGTTTTTTCGACGATTTTATCCGCATAATTTTTTTCTATGCATTACTACAACCGCGGTGCTGTGAACCATTTGTAAAGAGAGCGGAGGTGAAAGGCAAAATTAGCAAGAAAACGTAATTTTCCTCACGACTGTTCCGCGCGCACCAGCCACGCGCGCTCGGCGGAAAAACACAGATTCTTTCGATTATGCAGCCTATAGAGAAAATGTCCACGAGAAACATCGGATGTAGCAGTAGCAGCAGTAGTAGCAGAAACAGAAACCTGTTTTCGGGCCTTCTGGTGTTCCAGTTCCTTCGTACGTTTCCTTAGTTCTGTTTCACGCGAACATTTTGGCCTTTTCCTTTTTATTCGTAGTCTTTATTTCCCTAAGTTTACGTTCCCTCGGTTGTGAATAATAATCATTTCGTTCGAGTTTTTGATTCGGGAGGACGCACCGCTTCTTTATGTCGTTTTATAGGTACTGTTCTTTCGCTTTAAATTTTCTTTCCCTTCGTTCGGAAACGTTGTTTCATTCTTCGACATATCAATCCCACTTGAGTTGAGTGCTTTCTCATAAATTTATATTTTCAAATCGACGATACGTATAAATCTTTCGCGCGAATGAGCTCCCGCTAAAACCGTAATCTCGGAAGATCTCTATAAAAAGCCTACTCGGAAAACTGCATCCATCTATTAGCCGGATAGTCGAACAGAAAACAACATTCTCTCGCTGCCTAAACG